AGAGAGAGAGAGAGAGAGAGAGAGAGAGAGAGAGAGAGAGAGAGAGAGAGAGAGAGAGGCATAAAATAATTCATTTGCATTTAATTGTAATGGTTCAAAGAATGTTCGTAAAAATGTTCGGCCCTCCAGCACGTTCACTTCATCCAATCTGGCCCTCTTTGAAAAAAGTTTGGACACCCCTGCCCTATACTATACCTGTGCAAATCATCAGCCAGCTTTCATTCTTAAGGTGGGACTGGAACTCACAGTCTCCAGTTTCTGATGATGCCTCCACCACTATATCAAACTGTCTCTCTGTGACTATTTAATGTCACTTTTTGTCAGTTTCGTTTCTGCCCAGAGTTCTAAAACTGCAGTCCAACACATAAAAGTGATCAAAGCCAAATAAAAAATTATTTACTTTGCATAATAGGTCATTAACCTAGAAAACTGGTTGCAATATGCCACTATGTTAATTATTGAATAAAGCTTATTAAAAACCGACAAATAATCACTTATGCATTCCAAGGGATTAGAGATATCAACTTCAGGGGATGGGAGATTGAAGAGAAAAGAGACAATTTAATTTGTTCATCTCTATCTATTTGTCTACCCCAGTGTCTGCCCCCATGTCTTTTTCTCTTTTAGTAATACACAATATGGGATGAGATCCGGGGTAACCCCAAAGCATAGCTTTTTTTAAAAAAAGGTTAAGGTGGTGGCCATCCAATTTTACGTAAAATACTATTATTATTTTTTTAGCCAGAACCAGAAGAGTCCTCTGGATGAATAATAGAATAACAGAATAACAGAGTTGGAAGGGACCTTGGAGGTCTTCTAGTCCAACCCCCGGCTCAGACAGGAAGCCCATTTCAGACAAATAGTTGTCCAATCTCTTCTTAAAAACCTTCCAGTATTGGAGCATTCACTACTTCTGACACTAGCCAAATTAAACTACCTTCTAAGTCTGCATTTTGTTAAACTGATTTTCATAGCTTCAAAGGCCTATTTTCTGTAAAACAGAAGAAGGCCAAGTTTTCACACAACTCGTCTCCATTTGGCCTCCATTCAAGACTTATTCTATTCTAAATTATTAACGTATTCTATTTCTAAATTATTCAACAAAAGGATCCCTGGTGGTCTTCTTAAGTGCATTAATATCCTTCTTAACAAAAACTGTACTGCTCTTTCAAACAGTTATATTATTCTAATTTAGGGGACAGCTAAAGGGATTTAGAATGGAAACCAGCCTTAAATGAAAACATTTATAAAAACACACTAGCTGTTGCAGTCCTGAAGCATTCTGGAATTTTGCTTATAGCCTGCTACACCACTGCATTGAAAACTTCATTTACTAGAAATTTATCACACGGGCACTAAGTAGAAGAATTCATGGTGGAATCCAGATGCTGCAAACATTTGGTTCTCCAATTCCGATGCACAAGCTATACCTTCACCCTTTTGACAAATAGCTCAATCACGTAACAGGTTTAATGGTATTATGGAAAGATTGGATGCACCAGGTAATATAAAATTTAGAAAGCATGCAGATTAAAATATATATTCTCTTAGGGATGGACAGCTTATGCTATTTCTAGTTTGTCTCAGTTTCATGTGTATTCAGTCATACATTAATTCCATTTGCTGCTGTTTTTTTTTTAAAAAGCCACATGAAAACATACATTCAAACCAATATCTTTTCTGTTAGGTATTCTTGTCATGAATTTTCACTTAGCTATACATTTATGTGCTATGTGTATATGTATTTTCTTTACAATTTTGAACCAAAAAATGCTAAATGTTGCAAACCATGGAGACATATAAAACAAAAAGATAACAATAGGCCAAGCTGTGCAGCATGCCACATACAATTTCAGACCACAAAACTCTCTAACAATCTGAGGTTTAATGGTGATTTTTGTTTGTTTGTTAAACATTTCATTTAGCATAAAATCTTCAGGTTTTATTACAGGTCACATTAGGATTTCAGTGATACCTAGTGATACGCACTGATGATTTAAATTATTCTTTACAAAACAACTTCCAATCCCTCCGGATGCAAAAGAAAGATAATTCACTATCCTGTTTCTTCCTTTTATCATTTTTTAGTAAAATTACTGAACTAAATGTTACCATACCATTTTTCAATTGAAAAATATTTAATATTTCTATTGCTTAGAGATTCACAATTTAGCTTCTTACACATTGACACCACACTCTCTCCATCTAAAATACAGGTAATAATCCTAATTTTGGTGAATTCATTAGTTATATTATTTAGTTTAATTCTTTAGTTATAGCATTCAGTTTGTCAAAAGTGTTTTTTTTTAAATCTGATCTTTTTCAGATATTTAAGACCTTCCCTTTTTTTTGGGGGGGGGGGGGATAGTTATGAGATAATGGTGCAATTCTTCTAATGGTTACATTTTATCAGTGGAAAATCTTTAAATAAAAGTCCTGCAAAGAAGCTTTAAGAAATCTCCCAGAGTGTCACAACACTAGTCAGATGTCATCACCCATCTGTCTATTTGCAACAGTGATTCAGGTATCCAATGTTTTGTTTTAAAGACCATAGAAAAAGGACTATAATACAAAGGACATCCCTTGAAGGAAACAATATGGAACTACTGGAATTGCACGGCAGCAAAACTGAAGTAACAGTTTTGCAGAGAAGAACTAGAAAATGGGGTAGTAGAAATGTGGGAGAATTGAAATTTGGGAGAACAGAACACACCCTTCTTGAGGCATCTTCTAAGAGTCATTGTTTGTTGTGTAAAAACTTTTAGAAGGCCTACTCAAATCCTAGCAGGCACCAGTTTGAGATCTTCTGGGCAGAATGGAAAAAGGATCCTCAGATAAATCATTATTTTGAGGGTGACTGTGTCGCCCATTCCAAATACCTCAGCGCAACATGAAATCGGGCCAAGGCTACTCAAGCAAATTACCTAACTCTGCAGGTAAAATCTGATTAGCCTGCTCCTATCCCCTTGGTTGCTTCGGAGTTTCCATAGCAGCTAAAACCGACACATAATGGAGACCTCTGATTTCAACTCAAGTAAAGTTCTTGGAGGAAAAAAAAATCTGGGTGGATAACAGGGACTCAAACATCTCCGCAGAATGAAAAATATACCAGTGGCCACACCCAAAAGTGAAACCCATCAGCTGAAGCGAAAGCCCATGGATGACAAAGGAACCCTGTGCCACCCATTAGGTAGAGCAGGGGTCCCCAACCCCCAGTCCGTGGACCAGTACAGGGCCGTGGCATGTCAGCAACCGGTCTGCACAAACAAGCAAATCCCCATCCATGGGATACAGGCAGCACACAAAACCACACACCCTCCGGTCCGTGGAAAAACTTCTCTCCACGGAACTGGTCCCTGGTGCCCAAAAGGTTGGGGACCTCTGAGGTAGAGCATCGGGTGAAGTTAGATGGGTTGTCAGAATGAGAAAATAAGTACAAGGTGAAGATGTGGCTCAAAAAATTCCAGCCTTTTTCTGCCCCAAAGGTGTTTTTTTTTTTTTTCAGGAGGCAACTGGACTTCGTTGTGTTTCTTTTGAAGACGTTTTGCTTCTCATCCAAGATGCTTCTTCAGCTCTGACAAGATGGTGGGGAGTGAAAGGATATGTATTGCTTGCAGACAAGATGATCCTTTGCATCAAAGCTTCTTGGATGAGAAGCAAAACATCTTCAAAAGAAACACAAGAAAGTCCAGTTGCCTCCAGAAAAATGTAGCTTTGGGACAATCATCACTTGGATGACTGAGGATCTCCATAGACAGCCTTTTTCTGCTTCTTCCAAAATCTTTCTCTATTTTATCCCACTTACCCAACAACTGTGATTTAGGCAAAAAGTAGTGATAATCTGACTGAAATCTGTCATTATGATTCATAACATTTATAACTGGCTGGGCTTTTTATCTTTCTGAGCTCAGAGACACAACAAAAACAGTAGATTCCTTCCTGGACTATCCTATTTTTAGACTATAAGGTTGGGTAAATGCATCTTTTAACACACACACATACACACACACAAACACAATCATCCAACAACAAACCTTATAAGTGGAAAGTAATCACGTCATGGAGAAAACTGAGTTTCAATCACATTACATTTTTACACGTTCAGTGGAATCCATAGAATAGAAAATAAATATAATGTGTGCTATTTTCCAAATAGAAAATAAATTGATCAGTGAAATCAAATGATCAGAAAGCTTGCTTGCCTGGTTGCTATTTTTCCTATTTCTTTTTTTGGACACAGGGACACTCTTGTGGAATATGAACATTTGTTGTGAAGAGGTTTCTCCACATTATTCAGTTCTGGGTGTACCAAAGTACTTTGTTCTCTCATTATATATCAGTTGTGTGTAGCAGAAGGGAACAAATACACCGAGACAGCCACAGATGTTCAATTTGCTGATGTTAATTGTCTTATTGTATCTTTTAGCTCAGCTATTATTTGGCATATATATTTTGCTCGGTATATACTGGGGTCTTAAGGGGAAAAACCCAGAAGAAAAATAAAGTAGAACCCATAACCACTGCCTACCTCTGCACTAGGGAATTAATATCCATAGGCACAATGACTCTTCAGATCAGGAAATATGCTAAAATAAATAAAGCAAATAAGATAGTTGTCAAGAATGGACATGTCTGACATCAAGGCGTCCTACTATGTAAGGCAGCAACATTCCAAGACCAGGATTTTGAAAGGGAGGGACCATTTAAAGTTTACCTTACCTTTAGGTGAAATGTGCCTCCAGGTGATTGTCGGGTCTGGCCTTCCTGTAGCTATGCAGGTGAGACTTATGTTGCCACCTTCATTGATGGAGATGTCTGAAGAGATCTCAATAATCTTGGGAGGTACTGCAGGGACAAGAAAAGGAAGAAAGTCAGCTAAAGAATTAGGAAAGCTATTAATTTCTGAACATTCTTTGGGAGACACCACAATTCACTAGAGAGATACAGAACATGAGGGTGGAGGTTCATTCTCTGAAACTTGTTGGTTGATTTCTGAACATTTCATTACCAGACAAGGTAACATCTTCAGCTGGAATTTAGGGGATGTCAGTGTGCTTTTGCTTATAAGGGCTTAGTGTGGTCAGTAGGTCTTGTGAAGGGGAGATCACATCAGGTAAGAGTCTTGTAATGAGTCAGGTGTGGGTTATGTCAAGCGAGAGTCTTGTGATGGGTCTTATGATGGGGCCAACCCACAAGCTTGGAGAATGAACTTCCATCCTCATTCTACACCCGAACTACAGATATTTGCTACTACTGCATTCAAAACCGTAGCTTCCTCAATTTTTGCAGGAGAATTTCTTAATGGAAATTATAGAGAACCCCCGTTGGTCAATGATCATCACGCTGGACTAAATAGACCAGTGATTCAACTCCGAGACCGCCTTCTGCCACAGATTACCTCTCATCGGCCGATACGCTCCCACAGAGAGGGTCTCCTCAGGGTGCCGTCAGCCAGACAGTGTCGGCTGGCGACCCCCAGGGGGAGGGCCTTCTCTGTTGGAGCCCCCACCCTTTGGAACGAACTACCCCCAGAGATCCGGGTGATTCCGGATCTCCCCTCCTTCCGCCNAAACAAACTCAATATAATGGACCATTCACAGTTGTTCTATTGAACCACAGTAGAGATTTGTTTCCTGTAGAAGGATAGCCAACAGAAATTGATGTGGCCCTCAAAGCAAATCAGTCAAGCATTGCAAGTGTCACCAACTTTCATCCAAGATATAATAACATTTCCGTTCGTAGCTTTATCCATAACTATTTTTGTAGAAGCATAAGAAAAGGGAGAAGCTTTCTGCCAGTCAAAAATAACTCAGAAGGATGGATGGCAAGCAAGCCCCCCTGCTTATAAATTTTAAATATCTTTTATTGGGTAATTGGATCAACTCGTTCCAAATGGATTGTATACCAATTATATTCTCTCAGATCACATGGTTTGGGAGAATACACCTAGCAATGTAGATAACACTCTCCTTAAGAGAATATGTGCCAAGGATTAAAAAAAAATTCCCATCTCTTCCTACTGTTCTCCATATATTAATATGTCCTTGGCATACTATTTGATCAGTCCCATCATGCATTTAACATTTTCAAAGGCTGAGTTTTTTTGTCCATGAAGTTTTGGCACTTACACACCTCTTCCCTCTTAGACTAAAACCACAGCAAATTTGAGTTCACATAGCCACGTCTTGTGTACATCATGGTATTTATTTACCTGACATAAGAACCATTGGTTGAGAGATGCTCATATATTTGTCTCTGTATTTTTAATTATTAAATATCTACAAGTCCATATCACTATCTACATATATTCTATGCTGGGGGATCAAGAAACACAATATGAGATAATAACAGTCCAGTACCAAAACACCAGCTGAACCATAAAAGGCAACACTGATTGATTGATGAAAACATCAAAAGGCTAATAAAAAAACATAACAAAAGAACCAAGAAGTAGAAAATGAACTGAGGCCAAATCATTTTCAAATTCTACTACATTTGCTACACAAAATTAGTATTAGCCACCAGGAGTTATTTGCTCCTGGATATGAATAAAATTTTGAAGTACAGAGACCAACTTCTGTGTTGTATTTTTCTCAATATTTTTTGAGTTAGGTAATTCAAATGAAGCTTATGACCACTCAGAAAAAATCCATAGATTTGGCACATTAGCCTCAAAAAGAAGGATCCTCCATACTTTAATGCCTTGGAATCTGCTTTCCTCAATTCCTTCCCTATGTCCCATCCATGTGCCAGCCACCTTTTCAATCTTGTTCAAGGAAGCTGGATAAATGTAGAATGGACACGGAGGCTTTGCATTCATTGCCTTTGACACAAAGTAAGTAATTTATTGATCTGTAAAACACTCGGAGACGCTCAGGAAAGGATTATGTCATGCCAACACTAGGCAATAAAATAAAAAATGATGGACTTTTCTGTGAACATGAGAGGTGATTTAAGGTTTGTAGCTGGAAGTGTAGTTAAAGTACATTTTAAGTGGAAATCAAGCTAAGTAATGAATTACCCTATGTCTGGAAAGGCTATCAGGAGTTCATTTTCTTGGCTTCTGACTCAAGAGCTAATATTCTACCTGTACACTAGAGAACAACAAAGGACCAAGCTAGTAGAATGGGCTTAAGTAGGAGACGGGTCAAAAATATTTAGACATGAATATTGGTTTGACTTCATTGCAAGGTAGCCAAAGTAGGACTCTAACAGAATAGGATATGAACTATATATCCCAGTATGAGGACTTTATGGAAGATGATGTAGAAGATCCAAAATTGTCCACATGGAACAAATACGAGCTTTTGAAGAAAGACTATAAAGACACTTGCAGCATCTTGAAGGCTAATTGATTTATTAGCATGCAAGCTTTGCTTCATGCATCTGAGGAATTATGGGCCATAAAAACCAATGCAAGAATAAACTTGTTTTGAAGGTCTCAGAGGTGTTGTGGACATAGTTTGGGGCAACTATAGGAACAGGGCAACCTGACCTAGTAGGCTCACAGCTAGAGAACAGAAACAAAGATAGATCCAGTACCATAGGAAAAATAAATTCTGAGGATATAAAGGGATTACTGGATTATTTCTGTATTCCTCTTCTAGGTCCTGAATAATGAAAGTCCCTGAAGCCAGCTGGAGGTAGCATCTTAACCAAAGGTCTTGCAGGATAAGAAAGTTCTCTATAGATTCAAGAAACTAACATCTAGACTCCTAGGAAAATATTCTGCCTCTGCTATACAGCTTCCAAAGTTGCCAGAAAGTACAGTCCTTGGCTAGGTTATGTTTAATTCCTTGTTTCTGGGTGGTGGCACAGTGGTTAGAATGCAGTACTGCAGGCTAATTGCTCACAGCCAGGAGTTCGATCCTGACCTGCTCAAGATTGACTCAGCCTTTCATCCTTCTGAGATCAGTAAATGAGGACCCAGATTGTTGGGGCAAGATGCTGACTCTGTAAACCACTCTGTAAAGCACTACGGAGTAGTATATAAATCTAAGTGCTATTGCTATTATTTCTACTACATGTCTACCAGATTTGCACCCTGTGACCTTTCTTTGTATTTAAGTTAGCTGTGTATAAAGTCCTTTGGTTCCCTGAACAGAAATACTGGTGTACTTGACTCTGACCTGTTCCAGTTTGATCAATGCTACATTTCCACTTCAGTTAAATTCTTTAATGCTGCTCTCAGACAGAAATAGGACAATAAGATGCTTTTTTTATATCCAGATCCCTTCTGGGATCTAAAGGAATAAATATATAGATCAGTCTACACTTAGAATGAGTCATGTGTTAGCAGCTAGAAACAAGAGCTGATCACAAAGAGCTAAGTAGGATTGGATTTGGTTAATCCTTTCACATGAGATCATCAGGAAATCCTAGGGCTGCAGGCTAAGCTGGGAGGTTGAAAAAGACATAATAGAAGAAAGCAATGGCGAGAAAGCAATGTGGAGATGCTGAGATCAACCCCAAGGCAACTTTATCAACATCCAATTTGTTCCAAAGGCCCACACAATAATAATATACTAATAATTTTAATATGTGGTTTCCATATTATAACCAAAGAATGCACAGCATTCTTCCAAATTAGTGCAACTTGGTAACCAACCTTTTAAAGGAGCACAGTGGTTTGAGTGGTTAGGATGCTGGGTTAGACTTTATCAAGTCTGCGTTTGAGACCCAATAGCTGCCATGGGGTGGGGTTGAGCTCTCGTCCTTCCCTCCAGCTCCTGCCAGGGACATGAAAGGAACCAACGACTGGACATCCCAAGAGCAATGGTGATGTCATTGGCTAATCCTTTCAACCTGAAAGTGCCTCAGTACTTCTGACACGAGTGCAGCAACTAATCTTTGAAGGCCATGAACTGTGATGTGGCAGATTCTGTTTCAGCCAATTGTACTAAGTGTTTGAAAAGAAATCTGCCCTTAAAATATCTTTATCTGATTTGGGCTAATTTTACAAGTGTAAGAATTGTCCAAAGATTTGTTGCGCTTCTAAAAATATTGAGCTCCCCATATCTGTTGTCTTCTCTGTCTTGGATGTTTGTGTGTGTGTGTGTGTGTGTGTGATGCTATTTGGGTAAATCGGGCATGTCACACTTGTGACATCATGGCAATAGGGTAGGCGCGGTTTCGCCGTGACGCATCCAGTCCGTGGGCCGGCAGTTTGACATGCCTGGGGTAAATGAAACCAAAATGATCTTGGTGTGATAACTATTTTGATCCTGCCAGACAGACAAACAAATGCTGCTTGCTTCATGCCTTATCCAGCAGAATTAATTTTGCCCTGTGGACTCCCTGTTGCTGGCAGGATAGGACAAAATAATACAAGAGACCTCCAAGTTTAACAATGATCTAATGTTGTCTTTCACTCTTGTGCGGGATGATTACCTTCAATATAATATTTTTACTGTACTCTCTTATGTAGCTCAGAGTAGTTTAAAAACTAAATCAGTGTGTCGTGAACTCTCATCAATATAGATTATAGTCCCCACATTAATCAACTATGTTTCCTGATTGAACCAATTCAGAGTTACAACCTTAATTGATACAATTTGCATCTGAAGGAAAATAGAAGTTGGGGAAGAACTGTTTTATTGCCTTATAATTACAGGTGTCCTGTGTTTAATGGGATATTTACTTTAAAAGAACAGCAGCCCACATGATCCTTTAGCAGGAGAAGAATCACATCACCCTTCAGAGGGTGTGGAGATGAGATTGCTGTCCTCTCCCAAAAGAAACACAACCATGATCTTCAGACTGTGCATTGTCAATTTGCTATACATTTATGTGATATTGTTATGACCCAGGTGGTCTAGCCAGAGGCAGGCTTCAATAGTCTTTTA